TAAATTAAGCAATCTTATGATCAGTGTATGCCAGTGAAATTAGCATTAAAATTTATGTTATAGTTCAAAGTTCTATATTATCTAAGTTTAACTTCCTTTATTTGAATAGAAACCTTAAAGAAAAATTCTTAAACTTCAGTTTGATGCAAAAGTTCACAAAACTTAATTTCTGGACTTTGTAATTTGAATACTTCTTGGCATACGTTAACCTTCCATGTATAGATATAATTTAGGTTAATTGCTCTATTTACACATTCTTCTTTCAAGCTCTTTAGGGCATGTTCAGAGAAAAGAAAAGAAATTTCTTGGAATTCTTGACAGATGCCATGGCCACTTTCTACACATAGAGTTGCAATTTCTCAGCCAATTATACTTAGTTGAGCTAGATATTTATAACGAATAGAAAGACCACATTTTAAAATACAATCTTCCAATAGTTATTTTAAAGTTGGTTGGAAGAATTTTATGGAGAATTTGTCAAACTGCTTTTAGCATTGTTGTTGCTGGTACTTTTCTGTTATTTCTCACCTATAAATATGTTAGTTAGATAGTTGGGTTTTAGTTTTATATTTTAGTTAATTATGTGTTATTTGTGTTTTAAAATACATATTAGAAAGGTTTAATAGTTTTTCCAAATATAAACCAAACTGCTTTGGTTCTTCAGGCTTAGTGTAGTAGATTAATGTTCCAACATTCTGATGAAGGCTAAAGTATCTCTGCTTATGATACCCTAATATTGCCCAAGAATGCTGGTTGATGTGTGTCGCGATAAGTAATACTTCTAAAGGACAGGAAAAGAAAATAAAACATCAAAAATAAATTATATGTGAAAAAGTAAAAACTTACAATTAAGAATATAACCAAAGAAGGTTTTTTAAGACTATTCAATGAAAAAGTAAAAACTGTATAAATTTTTTCTATTTTTAATTTTATACATTTAATCGCACAATGCATAGAGTATAATACTCGAAATATTCACAGTCTGAGTGCAAATAACTACAATACAAAAATAACAAAGCTTTAAAATATTATCATTCCTTGTGTACAAAATACTTGTAATTTTTAACAAAATCTCACTAATTGTTGTGAGGTTATTTTAAGAAAACTCAGAGTTATTATGTACATTGTTGAACTGTGTATCTTTTTCCATATGAGAAGTAGTCAAATGGGTTCAACCCTGTAACCATAAGGTTAACAAACATATTAGTTAAAAATGAGTATGTTATTTTCTCCAAGAGATGCTTAGGGTAGCCATTTAAAAAAAAAATGCTTTGTATAAAAGTAATTTCCTTGTGAAGGGCTGGATAGGATGAGGTAAGGTTGTACATCCTATTTAATAGGCAGAAAATGAGATTATGTTTGAAAGAAAAGGGTATAAGACTGTCAAACAGAGTGAAAAGTCCAGATGAATAACATTTCTTTTCTAGACATCCTGGTTAATTGTGATACTAATGGCTTTACAACTTCTTTGTATCGTAAAAACACATCTACTGGCCAGTTTGAGTTTTATACCTTTTTCTTTCAAACGTAATCTCATTTTCTGCCTACTAAATATGGCCTACAACCACACCTCTTCTTATCCAGCCCTTCACAAGGAACTTTCTTTCATACAAAGCATTATTTTTTTGAAATGGCTACCCTAAGCATCTTTTGAAGAAAATAACTTACTCATTCTTAACTAACATCTTTGTTAAGCCACCTAAGGTACCCAAACTTCCTATATATATACACCTGCTTACCATATCTTGGAAGACAGAGCTCCCTTATCAAGAAACATTTGAAAAAATTATATAACTCTTACTATCCCCAAATTGACTTGAAAGTTATTTTCAAACCTAATTTCAGACTCAAAAATTTTTTCTGCTTCAAAGATCGTGCACCAGACTGCCCATTGTTCAAATCTCATCTACTTATACATGTGCAGAGACTGTAAGGCCTCCATTGTTGGTGAAACCAAACATCACCTTAAAATACTTGCATTTGAACAAATGGGCATACCTATAAAAACTGGAAAAAGTTACAAACCATCTCAATTCTGCTATCTTCCAGCACAATACAGAAATATGGCAACCGATTTCTCTCTCTAACTTTAAAATTCTCTCAACAGCCAAACGTGCTACTGAACTTCTAATAAAAAGAGATGTTGTACATAAAAATTCATCTTCCATCTCTAAATAATACACAGTCTTCAATTGATTTGAATCTATTTCAATTTATTTATTTCATTTGCACTACATAGTTGTTATTTTCTCTTGTTATGCTTTTTATATTCAAATTGTTTATTTATTATGTATTACAAGTTATATTATATTTCTGTTGTAATTACAACAGTTTGTTTTGTACCTCGAAATTACTGAAGATGGAATTTTGAAAGTTTCAAAATATTAATAAATGCTTCATATTATTACATTTGTATTTATCTTTATTATTCAATAATTCAGCAATGAATTGTGCCACTGTATCAAGTTTGTTATTTTACACTCCATCAGTTAAAAGTCATCTTAGAACCAGCCAAAGGTGATTCAGGAGTGATAGCACAAATTAAAGAAGCAGTGCTTGTGGATCTTGAAAATACATGTACATGAACTGTCACTCTTAATATTTTGATGAAAGCATGCTTTCTGGGTGCTAGATTTAAAGATATGCCATTCTTGAACGAATATGGAAAAGGAAAGTGTGTAATATGTAGTCTCAGCATCCAGGAAGTTCAAGAAATGCCAATGAAGAAAAATACCACTGCAGGTTTAAAGCTGCTGATATCTTTTTATCAGAACAAGAACATGTCCACAGTACAGAATTCACCTGAAATGATTGCTGAAGAGCAAATTAATAGGTACGTGGTTTTTTCACTCTCTACATCTACAAGGCAACTCATTGAGATTCTGGGCAGATAATGCCCATTTGTATCCACAACTTAGTAGAGTTGTACTTAAGTACTGGCAATTCCGGCAAATAGCACACCTGTAGTAAGGTTGTGTAGTAGTGCAGATTATATTTTGAATGCCAAAAAATGTTAACATTTTAACCTTTCTTATCTGCAGTATTTAACATTATAATCTGTTGAGTTTTTGTGAGAACTAGTTATAAAACTTTTAACAAACTGATGTTAAATTGTTATTTTGTTAAGTGAGGATTTAAACATTATGATATTTGAGTTATGTTTGTACTTTCTAGTGTATAGTTTATGTTAGGTTTCTCTAATTTTAAATAACCTATAAATGTTGTTTTTCTTGTGTTATGTTTATAACGCCAGACACAACACTTAAGGCCTCAGCATTGTCATGAACATGCTTATAAATATATAAAACAGTATTGTTGCAAAAGGGTACTGATAACTGAATATTTTTTTATTGTTTCTAAATTTTGAACAATGCAATTGCTTTTCATGTGTGACACATTTTCATGTACGTAGTTTAGGATTTGAAAGCAATTTGATTCTAAACTGTTTTGCCTGAAGTCTGAAGACAGGGTTTTCCCTTGCTTTTGATATTTTTTGCTACTTGATAAAATTTTTGAAACAAATTGTGAAGTCAACTTTATATGCTAATTTTAAATATATTCCAATAATTTTAATCATAAACTATTTTAGAATCAATATTTTATCATTTTCTTACATTTATTTAGTGTAATTCTTGAAGGGAAAAATCATATTTTCAATTCTACACAGCTGCAGATAGTTGTGCCTGTAAACAAAACAACCCACTTGTCAATTTTTTTTTTAGAATTTTTCTGCCCATTCCTTGTTTTTAAAATTCACTTAGTTTTTGTACAGGCCTTGGACCTTTTTTGAAATCTTGTTATGGTACCACGTCAAGTGATCATTTACTATTGAAAAAAAAGCTATAAAGGAAGGATACTGTGGATAGAGCAAGAATTAAACTATCACATAATAGTAAATATGTAGGTTACATTTTTTTATAGCTTCTGCCCTTTCAGTTCCTTTTTATGAATTATGAAAGTATTTGTATGTTTGAAAGCTATAGAAATTTTCTTCAGTGAGAAGTCAGATAACTTGGGATTATGTAAGCTTCCACATCTTATAGACGGGTTGAATGGATAACAAAGAAAACTGTATTACAAGTTTAACACAGTAACAAATCAACATTGTTTAGAGAAGGTTTTGTGATCTGTAGGTGTAAGTAATTTACCTAGATACATGAAGATATATATACACAAAATGAAACAAAGTTACATGACTGGAGATTTATTAAAGTTAATAAAAGTATCTTGTTGATACCTGGTTCTTTGTTAAAAATTATGGTGTTATTGAGTTGTAATGTTTGTAAACATGGATTTTGTTATTATGTTTACCATGTAAGGTTAGTTAAGTTTACTGTTTAGTAACATGGTGAGTATGGTAGATGAGTGCAAAATATTCTGATAACTGAAATCTTTATTGAGTATTATTTTTTATATTTATGTTATTTAAACAATGTATAATCATGATTTTTTAAATAAAACAATATTAATACTAATGGTGAATGGTGATAGTAACAGTTAAATAATTCTCTATCATTTTATTCATAGTAGATTAGTACAGGATTACTACATATTTTATAAAGAAATAATGATGATCATGCAATTGTAATGTTTTGTCAAGATGAGTGATTCATTTGCCAAGTATTGTGTTGTTTAAAAAAATTTCGTAGAAATAAAATACTATCTGAATACATCATGAAGTTAACACAAGTACTTTTTTCTTGTATGGATGTTCCTATTGGGAGGTTTGTGTACTGATCAATTAATGAACCCATCAATTATTCGATTAGCAAATATCCACTTATTGTCCAACTTTCTTTAACAAATTGATTACTCTAAAATACGTATTATAAAGTGTTCTTCATAGAAATAATTAAATATGTTATTCTAATAAATCATTTATGAAATAAGTTGTTCTCATTCAGTTTTATTGGCAGTTGAATGTTTTAATATTTCATTTTTCTCTGCAACTATTTGAGCAAAGTTTACATAAAGAAAGTAAAACTTTTATGAACCTATAGGTAGTTCAAGAATACAAGCAGAAAAAACAGGAAATCAAGAAAATTGAGAAGGAATTTTGTAACAAAATGCAACATCTTGAACAACTTAAAAAAAAGATTGAGGAAATAAAACAGCTTTGGCTTCCTTGTCTAGAAGAATTAATAAGTCATATCAACATGAAATTCAGAAAGTACTTTGCTGCCCTGGGCTGTGCTGGAGAGGTAACTCTAAGTACAAGTGAGAATCCTGTAAGTTCCTTGAAGTTTTCCACTTTGAATTATTGAAATCAAATTTTTGGAAATGGTATTCTGTTTTTTATCTATATAACTAACATTTGCCTTTATGATGTCATAATATTAATTGAGAGAAATATTAGTTACATTTACCATAATAGTTATATGTAAATAAAAACTACATTAGTAGATATATGACAGAAAGATACAGTACTTTTAGTATTTTCAAGATTATATGATTTTTGTCTTATAATAACAGAAAATCTATTCTTTCAAATACCTAATTCATAAATATATAAAATATTAACATGAAATTTAAGCCTAACTCATCATTCAGAAGTTACTTTTCAAACATCTTATGCAATTTATGTGGGATTTATTGATGGCAAGTAATTAACATACTCAGAACCATGTTCTATAGTTGACTTTTTACAGAATATATAAAGTATTACAACATATTGTTGCGTCAGCGAGGTCACGTGACTAGTATCGCGCCACCTCCTTTTAGAAATATCCTGTTCCTTTGTAATTTGTCGGGAGACTACTAGATTGGGGTAG